GCTGGAAAAGCTCAAAATCCTTAAATAAGTGATAATCAGTAGGAGAGCTATTAGATTTATATGGAGGATGAGGCAGAATCTCATAATTCAGACTGAGAAGCTTTTGGACAGTTGATTGAGAAGCTTCCGACCGTGTGTTGTCGTGCAGCAAAATGGAGTCATCTTTATTCAGTAGCATGTTTCTTTTTCAATTTTCCGTGCATACACTCAGTTTCTCCACTATACGAGGTTGCTGCCACCCCTTTGAAATACCACCATACAGTAACCGTTAGCTTTTTAGGGTGCAGTATAGGTTTTCGGCATTGTTTTGGTGATTCACTTGCATCTAAGCACTGGCTTACTCTCTTAAGAGGATCCATTTCTTATCGCATGTAATGTTTCGATTCAACTTTTTTAATTTTTTCCTAGTTTGTTCTCATACAGTAAGTTTCACTGTAATCATTTTCATTAAGAGACATGAATGATTCAAGATTTTATATATACTAAGGTGTTTACATCGTTAGACGACTGGATCAACATTCAAGAAAAAATGCGTCATTTCATGCGTGACAACCTAATATAATTTTATATTTAATTCTTAATAATTATAAACGAGATAAAAATATGCCTAAAATTTATGGCACGGGAAAATAAACAGTCAGTTATACATCATTCAGAGCCTAACTTCTTAATAAATAGTCAGTTATACATCATTCAGAGCCTAACTTCTTAATAAATAGTCAGTTATACGTCATTCAGAGCCTAACTTCTTAAAAATCCTTTTTCGATAGCTTTTTACTAATTTAGAACAGACAGGGATATTTCGCCATATTTCATGTGCACATTCTTCAGGATGTTGCAAATTACTTGGCTTTCCTGTTCTTAGACGCTTTCTTTTTTCAATTCATCTCATAAATTATCCATTCGATTCACGTCGGGAGAGTGTGAAAGCCAAGGTTAAAGGTTATTTTATATAAAATCTTATCCTGAAGAAATTTCTGCACGAATTTAGATGTATGTTTAGATCCATGTCACGGAAAAAAATCCAACCATGCTTTAGTTTCTGATTTCTAACAAGCACTTTCAAATTAATATCCACTATTTCAAAATAGTTTTTTTATAATACACTAATTCTTATCAAGCTTCCTTTTACTTCTGCAATGTATTATGAGCCCTCCTTTATGCTTTCTTATACTGATTGTAGTATTTATATAACTTTTTGGGAATAAAAAACTTTGTTAGAAACAAAGAAAACAGTACTGGATTGCTATCTGATATCATATTCTATATTACAATGAATGCTGAACAATCTATTCATGAGTGAGGAGAAAAATGAAAGCGACATAAATGTGGTTGTACAGAAGGATACCTAGAATTTTATGGACGGGACGAGTAGACAACGAGGAGAGACATTATCGCTTATGTAATGAAGAGACGCGTCACATAGCAGAAAAAAATGTTGTAACATAGAAAGGGTTACTGAATGAGGAATAACCAAAACAGAGGTTTGAAATGAAATGGCAATCTTTATAACATCAACAAAAATATAATACTCGCCAGCGGCGGAAAGTAGGTAAACCACTGCTAGTGATGGGCTACTTAGACACCATATTACCCCCACTTACAATAATAAGGATTGGGATATACCCATTAGTGTTCATAGGTATGGTATATAACAAAAACATTTCTATAATTATGCCACCAAACCACTAGATTTTCTCATCCAACAATTATATATTTTTCCAAAATAATACTGGTTTAACAATATGACCAATTGCAAAAAGGAAAAGAGATTTCAAATTTTTATTCTTTAGGAGAGGTGTCATACAAAATTGGCATGCCTGAAGTCTTGTTCTGATTAGAAGTCTAGTAAATATTGTTTTGTTGCTTTCATTCAAGAGGCACCCAAATTATTCCTAAAATCAGATATAAAATCTGGGTAATTGCCACCAATTTTTAGGAGACAGATACTTTTTCGTACCACATCGAGCTTTCTTTGCAAAAATATTCCCTCTTCTGAACACTAGAAAAATTCAATAAATTATGATTTAAATTCTTCATTTACGCATGCATGAATTATGATATTCTTGTTTCGTGGGATTTATTTAGCTAGAGTATTTTTTATTTACTTTTATGTTGTTAAATATTGATTGTATAAAGTTAAATCTAATAAGTGCATACACCCTAAAGGAAAGCTCAACTGCAACAATATTAAAAATTTTACTATTTACACGGAAACAGAACTAACACCGCATAAACAAATTCAGTTCAAATGAAGAAGAATGTTTGTATGAAATAAAGAAGAAAAAATTGTATCTTAAAAATATGGAAATACTTAAAGAAGTTAAACTAGACTTGCCACTTAAATGAACTTGAATACTGATAGCCATAAATACATCCCTCACACACACACACACACACACACACACACACACACACACACACATATATATATATATATATATATATATATATACATACAGTATTTAATCACACTCAAGCGTGCGTCTCTGAAAAAGAGGGAAATGAATGTTTTGCGTGACCTTAAGCATGCGTACATTGACATTTTGTTTGTAATTAAAGGGAAACAACTACATAGAATTCTCCTGTGAAAGAGTTAAGAAAATAGCAGTGAAAAAGGAAGCAAAATATTTGTATGACGCAATACAATTTCAAAATGGAAGTAATAACTACAAAAATATTTTAATTAATGGCACATATATAAATATCCATTTTCCAATGAAAACGTTGCACGTGTATTCATCATTATTGTACCTTTATAAAGATCTTTGTCCTGAGGTTTTCTTATGTAGTTCTCTAAGTTTCACCTGCAGACAATAAGATACATTTTTATGATTATACCGAGCATAATTTATATATATATATATATATATATATATATATATATATATATATATATATGCATTAGAAATAATTAGGAACATGGCAAGTTATTACAGTAGAAACTACAGATTATTAATATATCAATATTTGCAATATTAAATATACAAAATATCTATAGAAATATCATATTTCGTTGTGGTTAAAGATGAAAAACAGTTACCTATTTTCAGAAACACAAATTTGCATTTGAAATTATTGACAGATTTCAAAACATATTTAACTTTAAAATAATTTCTAAGAATTCATTAATGTATATTTTAGTCCTTTGAAATATGAATTATGCTTTCCTAACGATCTCTCTCACAGGTACACACTATGCATATATACATATGTATACACACATATATCCACACACGCACAAACACAAACATAATATATATATATATATATATATATATATATATATATATATATATATATATATATATATATATATAGAGAGAGAGAGAGAGAGAGAGATAGATATATATATACGTTGTGATTATTAATGTGTCAGTTATATTTAGTGAGAACATGTATTTAAGTAGACAGAGGAATAATTGAATACCAGCCTAGAGTTTGAAAGTCTTAGTAAGGAAAGTGTACTCTCTACCAAAACGGAACCTATCTTTATTTTTAATCTGGGACAGATTCGAGAAGGCGAAATAAAAAGGAGACATGGGTTCGATTCCTGTCAGAAAACACATTTTCTTTACTTAGCCATTCGTCTACAGATAGTAATTTCACTATTCAAAGATATATCAACTCAAACACGTGTACCCACGTTTATTGGAGTAAAAAATAGTGTTGGATTTTACAGAAAGAAAATAATCGCAGACATAATTATTATTAAAGGTAAATATTTAAAACAATCTTGTGAACAAAGTAACACTCTTTCCTTTTCTGCCATTTTGTTTTACTGAAGCATGTCTGACCGTAAAACATCCTCTACATCTCAAACCGATATCCTTACTGACAGCGCAGTAGTTGTCTTTCATTTAGTCCTGGTCCCATTGCCGCTGCTGCTGCTGCACTGATGCAAGAACATCGATCTGAAAGCCGCATAAACTTTCCGTTCCCTTTCTTTAATTTTCACTGTCTTTCTTCTCCAGATTTTAAGACGTTGCAAGGGAGACAACACAGAGACTTTGTCGATTTATCTCTCTGGCATTTTATAGCAAATACTAAATTTCTTGACTTTCCCATTACTTACGAATACGTATCTAATATACATCAATTACTTATCTAATATACATCATTGTTTGCCCTTATGCGAGATAAATTCTTTTTTGTTAATATGATATATCCATTAAGACTTTCCAGAAGAAGGCATAAGCTCTAACTTAAAATTATTTTGGAAGTCGCCGGTTAATTTCCTATGAATCTTCTCGAAAACAATTCTGTGTAATTCACCTTCGTGGCTTCCTTCAGTGAAGTTAGAAGATTTCTTTAGTCCCGATGAATAATTATACTCTCAATAAGACTTCACATTTTGAAATTTTATTGAGTTTCAAAGACATTAATGACTTCAATTTGAAATGATATATACAATCTACCAATAAAGATGCTGGAAAAATGACCAGCTCATCTAATCACTCCAGGAATTACCCGAGTCCTTCTGCATTTATCTCTGCAAGATAGAGTTTAGAACAAAAACAATATTGGTGCCATATCTAAGTTGAAGCTGCCCAATCCTTATTTTGTAGCCTTGATAGAGTTCAAAATTGTCTCTGCGATTATGTGTGGAAGACGTTTTCTTCACTCTGCAGCCTTTTTTTCTGAAATGCCTACCACTCTTTCCATTTTAAGATTCCTTAGCTCCACGTCTTTATAGCTTTGCAGTTAGGAGATTCCATATTACTTTTACAGAGTCGAATCACCCTAATTTCCTTCATGTTCAAAATATAAGAAAAATATTCCATTGTCTTTTTTTTCAAAGAACAGCCACTTTATAGAACAGACACCCACATGGAAGCTATCACAAACGCAACAAGAAAGTCTTCCCCTCCTGCCTCCACCTTCATTCATATCACCCACTTCATTCATTATTAGCATTCCGATTATAACCTTCTAATTTGAGTGGCTCACAAGCCTAGTCCTTGGTGAAATTTAATAATTTTAATATAAAAAATGTGACTTACGGCCACTTCACGTTGAAATACCGGTACCCGTACGATCACGGAAGTTAAGCAACGTCTAACCTGATCAGTATTTACATGGGTGACCGTTTGGAATACCAGGTACGGTAAGTTTAAATGTGCAGGTGGTATAATGATGGATAATGGCTCCGAATTATTAATCGGAGAGCCGACTTCCAATTTCCGTTATATTCACTTATGCACGAATACCCTTGGGAAAGGTATGAATCTATCCCTTCCCCACCAGCTGTGGGTTAATTAGTTAATTGTATCACGAAACCATTATTATCTCTAAAAAAAGGTTCTTGCAATCTAAAAATACCTTCTGGCTTTAAATAACCAGCTAAGCGTTGATAAGCCAAAGAAAATAAAAGACTCAATTATATAAGAAAATGTGATGATGCACATCCTCCTTGGAAATAACGTTTAACAAATTATGATGAGTTGCTTTATATCAGTAGCAAAGAACGAGCTATTATTGAACGAAAATATTATCGATTTACTTATTATTGTACTTCTGTTTTAATATAAATAGTGAATGTTGGATGTGGAAAGAATTTTACCACTTATCAAAGATGAGAAATTAAATAACAAAAAGTAGTATTCGCAAACACATCTGTTTCGAAACTGTAAATTCCTCTAGTTATCTTGAGCCTCTTTGAACCTTTAAATACAGCGATAGTCCGTTAGTTACACAAACGGACGTTGAAGTTAACAGATTTCTACGCCTCATTCACAATAATTACCACAAACTGCACAATACACACTAGATTCAAATCTTTATGTTTCATATGTCGAAATTTAAATTGGAAATTTCAAAACAACTCAGCTTCAAGACATCTACAACTATTTACATACTTTCCAAGTCGAATAATTCTTGTTCATGATATCAAAATTGGAAGTTGCTTTACGGCGTCCATCTTCTCTCTAAGTAACATTCGACAGTTTGTGTTAGGTTTGCAGATTAAAGAAAGTATCGTTTAAAAAAATGACTTGATATGACCTGTAACCAAACGTCTGGGATGAACTGTCTCAGAAGACCAAAGAGTTCCTACTAATTCAAATTTGCCCATAGCGAAGAGTTTGGAGATCGAGGAATCATTACATGCCTTACATTTAGGAAAAAATATCTATTGTTTAATAGATTATTATTATTTAGAAACTTAATCTATTAAACAATAGACATGAGTTAACGGTTTTTTGTCGAGATCATCAAATTCATGGTTTGAATAATTAGCTAAAAACAAGCATACAAACTTTTATAATCCATAGCCCATATAAATAGTTTAAATACCCTACAAAAAAGATAACCCTTTATGAAGTCGTCAAAAAACAAATGTTACGGCAGTTTTTTTTTTTTTATATATATGCAAAAATCCCTTTCATAAAGAAATAAAATAAAAAATAAATAAAATCTCCATAGACACGTAAACCAGATTAGGCTAAAATATCTTCCGTTTCAAATTTAGACACCCACACCTTACCCTGACTTGACATCTAAAGTAACTCTATAGTGATAATTATTATTAACACCCAACACACGCCTACCCAATTTAAACAATTCGCCCTAGCTGTTACCATGGAAATTTTGATTTCAATTATTAAAACACGTAAATTTCAGAAATACGTTATTCCAAAAAAAGTTTCGCTTAAAGATGGGACAGAGCTTACTTTAACTCAATTTAATTCAAATAATTATGTTGAAGTTTTCGGCTCTTGTTTTGAAACATGAGACCTCTTATGTCGCGAGTTGGAATCATATTTTTAAATAAATATATATATATATATATATATATATATATATATATATATAGTCATCCACAGACAGACTGTTTCGCTATATCACAGCTCTTCAGTGTGGCTAGACGTCCGATTGTTTCAAGCCGGGATAGAAACCCGACCGATTTGGCATCAGTCAGAGATCCTAGGCTATCGTCGCACGTTAGAGAGAAAGGGAAATTTTAACGTTTTCTATATGGATTATGTGTGTTTGTGTGTGTGTTTACATTATTGAGTTTACATAATGTCTACGTTAAAAGTAAGATTGGTGTTAAGAATTTTCAGTAAAATTAGTAACAAGACTGAAGTTACCATATTTTTGTTTTTTTTCCCTTAGATATTTATGTCTAGCTTTACTCCGAAACAGCTACATCATGATGTAGAAGCGACGAGATCAAGGATCTGTATCAAGGGTCTACGAGATCAAGCTGATAATAGCTGATCTAAGACTAGTACACGCTCTTAGCCTGACACGATGGTCTGAACGACTAGCTAATCGTCGCACAAAATGAATGATTCTGTTGCGATTGACAACGAAAATGTTGGTTGAGTTAGGCATTATTGTTTGCATCCTATGTTGACTCAGGTTTTCTTCTGTTTGGTTAGTTATATAGAGTAAGGTCAGTGGAGGCCAATCACTGGATTATTCCCACGCCTCTCATTACAAGGACAATAAATACAAAGCAATAATTGCATAAAAAGAAACACTTTCGCAAGAGACATCTTCCTCCGAATGAACATAAAACACAACCGTTAAGAATATTATACGCGAAGATATTATTCATCTTATATGTGCCGTTTCCATTGAGAACGTAAACAATCATGGCTCTCCACATCTTCTTATCCTTTGTAGCATATAGTAATATTTGTCTTTTCACCGTCCCAGTTCCGCTGTCTGTTTATACAAGCTTGTTCCATAGGGTAACCATCTGCTTTTCTCTCTTCGTTCTGCCTTCTCTATTTCAAATTCTTCGAGTCTTCTTTTCTCATCATGCGAAATTTCAACTTTCTCTGATTCTAAGCGTAAGCGTCTTTTTTGTTTCTATTTTCCTTAAAACTTTCTCATTACTCACATGTCCAGTCAATAGGGTTCTCATCATCCTTCTGTGGAACAACATTTCTTTTGTTTTAAGTCTCTTCGTTATCTGGGAGGAGATTATCCAGCATTTACTGCCATTTCGTATGATGGATATTACATAAGATTTCAACAAACTTTTCTTTGTTTCTAACGGGATTTTCCTGTTTCTTAATACTGGGCTTAGATTTTGCAAGGGATCTTTCTTTATTTCAATGCACGTTTGGATTTCGGTGTCGTATTTTCGCCTATTTTTATTCATTATCAAGGATGATGAAATCACACGGACATACAGAACATTAAAAAGAAAAATATATAAGAACACAAGAAAAAAACAACTTAATAATTTAACCACACGACCTTATCAGTCGTTTTAAACGAAACTTGTATCAAAGAGGAATTGCTGACGAAATACACATCTATCTATCTATCTATCTATCTATATATATATATATATATATATATGTGTGTGTGTGTGTGTGTGTGTGTGTGTGTGTGTGTGTGTGTGTGTGTACTCTTATACACATAAGGATGCGATAGATAACTTTTCGTTTAAATAACGCAAAAATGGCACTTACATCACATTTTAACAGCTATAATTACTCATATTACACAAAAAATCTTGAAATACTAAAGAGTACATTTATCCAATAAAACCGCCATTAGTTTCAACCACTGCCTTCAGAAACTCCTGATACACTTCTGGACAGTCTCCTTGTTTAATTGGCGAATGCTGCCATAATCCTTACGTTCATTTCATCTTACAAGGAGTTTTGTTAGTCTTTCGCTTAACTGCGCACCACACATAATAATCAAGAGGATTGAAGATCGGGGGGTTAGGTGGCCCTATGTAAAGGGTTATGTGGTCGAAGGAATTGCCTGTGGGTTCTCCTGCTTGTGTAGCATGATGCAGAAACCTATTGCAGTTAAAAGCTTTAACTCTAGATATAATTTCCCAGTTGATTGATGGTGAGATACCCAAATACTTTAATAGTCAGAAATATTTGGAGAGAGGACTGCTGTTTTTGTAATTTAAATTACTTAAGATTTTTCGATAATGGTAAAAATGAAATTTCTAATGCTTTTCAGTGGAACCAAAATAAGTTAATAACTTTACCGGAACGTATGTTCGCTCTATATATACAATATTATCAGTCATACATTGATCGTTTAAGGCACGATCTGAAATTCATAGTTGTGCTAACGGGGAAGGATAATATACATATTTAGTAATATAATATATATATATATATATATATATATATATATATATACGCATATCTCAGTGTACAATACTCTTTTCTATACTTATACTTTTATATATATATATATATATATATATATATATATATATATATATATATATATATATACAATATATTTTTGTATACTTACACTTTATATATATATATATATATATATATATATATATATATATATATGTATATATAAGTATAAGTATAAAAATTACTTGAGTGTGCGTATATATATGTACTATATATATATATATACATATATATACGCACTAAATATATATATATATTACTAAATATGCATATTTGTAGGATGCAGAAAAAGTATTTTGGAACCGTGTTCATGACACCAAAAGAAAGTCAGTTGGTCATATAAACAGATGACCAAATGACCATCGCTGTAGATAAACACAGAAGCTCATAACAAATGTTCAAAATCTCCTCCTCTTGCTCCTCGCAAGTATGTACCATTGGATCATTGACTGGCTGACCCTTACAAATACTCCTACACCGTGTCGTATCATTTCACAGGCCTCCATGACACGTAGATGAAGTGTCTCTGCCTTATTAATGTCTGCTACATAAGCCCATTGTTTTTGGTGGCCACAGATAAATCCAAAGGACTGAGGTCGCGGAAACGTACGTGCCATCACCCCATCAATCAACTGGGAAATTATATCTAGAGCTGAAGATTATAACGGTAAATGAAGTAAATGCAATTTATATCTTGTTGAAAAGCTCGTTATCTAAAAACACTTGAATAACCCTAGCTTATTAAACAGGAAAATGAATTGATGATTAGATTTAGGCATGAAAAACTATCTGCTTCCCTCCCTTAATTATATATTTTTTATGGTAGATATCAGTGCATCGCTTACAATGTGACTAAAATGTTCTAGAGCTTCATCACACATGAAGTACATGCATCTTCGCATTTGCAGGGATACATCCTCATGCCTGGAAGTGTGCTCGAAATAGTCCCTGTAGACATCTCCTGTAAGAG